GAGAGAGAGGGAGAGAGGGAGAGAGGGAGGGAGAGAGAGAGGGAGGGAGGGAGGGAGGGACAGGTGTGCTGACAAGAGGGGACCTGGGAGCTCGAGATGAAGAACCAACCACTGAGCCAAGCGTCAGACGGCAAGACATCAGTAAGGAAGAGAAATGAAGCTCTGGGAGGAAGGGGGTGTCTGGGGGCAGAAGGTGCCAGTGCAGGAGTGGGTGGGACTGAGGATGCATGTGGCCTCTGAGAAGGGCAAGGTGACCCGGACACAGGGAACCCAACAAAGAACAGGGTGCTCAAGGCCGCGGCTGCCCTCGTCACAGGGTTCCTGAGAGGGACGCGAGACAGAATACATGGGAACACCACAACATGTACACAAGCATTCACAGCAGCTTTAGTTTAACAGCCCAAACTGAAACAACCCATATGTCCTTCAAGGGTGAGCGGATAAGTGAACTGTGCGTGGCCCAGCCAGTCCAGAGAATATTACTCAGCAGCGAACAGGAAGGAATTACCAACACCACCTGGAGGCTCCCAAGGGCGTCAGGCGGAGTGAAAAAAAGCCAGTCTCAACAAGTCAAATATTGCATGATTCTATTTATGTAACATTCGCAAAATGACACAATTACCAAGGCGGAGAACAGATCAGCAGCTGCCGGGCTTTGGGTTGGAGGGAGGGTGTGATTATTAGGAGGCACCAGGACAGCCTGTTGGTGGTGACGGTTCCACGTGCTAACTCCATTCCATATGTGATAAGACCTCACAGAACCACACACATGCACGCGCATGCGCAAGAGTGCATGCAAAGACTGGTCACATGTGAATAAAGTCTGCCTGAGTTGACAGCACTGTCGTGGTTTTGGTGATGTACTAGGATGTTTTCGTTGGGGAAGCTGGGGGAAGGGCACATGGGAGCTCTGTGCTATTCTGCAACTTCCTGTGACTCTTCATATTTTCAAAAATAAAAAGTTACATAAGGGGAAAAAAGTACTGAAGCACTTAGCAGTATTAGATAAAAGTCTACAAGCATAAATGTCCATCAAGAGGGTCCTGGGGGGCTTCCCTGGTGATGCAGTGGTTAGGAATCTGCCTGCCAATGCAGGGGACATGGGTTTGAGCCCGGGTCTGGGAAGATCCCACATGCCGCGGAGCAACTAGGCCCGTGTGCCACAACTACTGAGCCTGCGATCTAGAGCCCGCGAGCCACAACCGCTGAGCCCGTGTGCCACAACTACTGAAGCCCACGCGCCTAGAGCCCGTGCTCCGCAACAAGAGAAGCCACCGCAGTGAGAAGCCCGCACACCACAACAAAGAGTAGCCCCCGCTCGCCGCAACTAGAGAAAGCCTGTGCACAGCAACAAAGACCCAACACACCCAAAAATAAATAAATATTTTTTTTAAAAAAGAGGGTCCTGGGACAGAGGCAGCCGGCGCTGCAACCCTGCTCCTGGCCCGAGCAGTTGTGCGGAGGGTCAGGCGCCTCCTTCGGGAGGGGAATCAGGATGCGAGCCACAGCCTGGGCGGCCTGGGGCCAGGGCAACGCTGGAAGGGACAGATGGGGCTTCGCGGCTGAGGACACCCTGAGACGGAGCTGTTTCTATCTTGACTACAAAGCACAGCCCCTTGGATGGAGTCCCAGGCCACCCCATCCTCCTCCAAGTCCTCCCTCAGCCTGGGCAAGAGGGCCTCGGTGTCCCTCGCCCTGTGGGAGGCAAAGCAGGCTGGAGCTTCCCCAGCTCCTCTCGCCCCCTCACCACCCCCACCCCCGGCTGGGAAGAGAACGCGCCGCCTGTGGAGAGCGCGGCAGGTTCTCTGAGAAGCGTGGTACTCACTCTGCGGAGCGGCCGTGGACACGACGGCCATGCCATGGGGGGCCATCCCCGAGGTGCCAGGAGGTGGCTGCCCCGAGAGTGGCATCGGCTGCCCCATGGCCCCCAGGCCGCCCATCCCGCCCAGGGGCTGGCCGGGGCCCCGAGCAGGTAGGCCAATGCCGGCTGCTCCCGCGGCGGGCCCACCAGTCAGGCTCTGCAGCGCATTCATAGGGTCTGCGGGGCACAGGGTGCAGCGTCTCAGGGCAGTGTCTGCCAAACCGGGCCAGGCTCCGTGGGCCATAAGGCCTTCCCGGGCACATGCTTCCTCCCACCTCCAGGCTCGACACCCTCAGTGTCCCAAATGGTGAGCGGCCGGAGTCCCGGGAGTCCCTCAAGCCCCGGCCCAGCTGCATACCACACCCCAGGGGCTGGGACACCTCCTGGGCAGGGAGCATAGCCCACACCCTAGCCTAGCCTATGCCAGGTCCTGACAGACTCCAAGGGACGAGCAAGCCCTCGGTGGCAGGCGGTGGCCCCACCCATCCTGGCCATAGGCCCCTCCTGCTGGGTGAGACACAGCTGGGAATCCAGAGAAAACAAGGGTCAAGGGCTCTTCACAGTAAGCCGAGCCTGGGGCTAGAGAAGAGGGGGCAGGAGTAGATGTCCCAGGGAGGTTACAAGTCCCCTTGTGCACCAGAAGCCCATCTCTGCTAAGTCTGGGCAGGACCCCACTGAGGAGCAGTTCTCAGGAAAGACCCCTGAGAACAAGGGTGTGTGGGAGGGGTCCGCAGATGCTCACCAGCTGAGTGAGTAATGCCAGGGCCTGGGGCAGGAGCCAGAGGCTCTTGTTATAACAGCAAAGAGCCACCTGCAGGCAGGTGTGGCCTGGCCGGCTCACCCTGCCACAGAACCGAGTGAACACACACATTCTCCTGGCCAAGCACTCTTGATACCCACCCCCACCACCACCCCCCAGCCCTGGCTGGCCAACAATCGCTGCACAAGCCAAGAGATCCCAGGCAGGTGCAGCCAGCTCGGCCAAGGCAAGCCTGGGCATGCGGCATGTGCCGCCAACAGTAAGACAAACAGCCCGCCAGGGTGGCTCCCTGCCCGGCAGTCGGAGTTTAGTTGGCCACTGGGATCTGCTAAACCCCTTCACTGGCAGCTCACTCAGCGAGACCTAGGCTAAATCAACAGGGTTCCCATGAGATAAAACCTTGAAATTAAAAAATAAAAAAGAATGACAATTCTTAACTTACAAAGAAACTTTGTAACTTAAGAAAGTGAATTCATAGTTATTCTCTAAATGCTACTACAGATTATTATGCTGAGCATAGCATTATACCATACTAGTTCTCTCCCAGAGAGCTCAAAATTTTAGATAATATTCAATAATTGAGTTTTCATCATTTTTTTTTGCGGGAGGAATGGGATGGGGTGGTATCGTCCAACTCCACGGTCACCAGGAGGAGGGTGCCTGGTGGGCCAGGAGCTGGCAGTTCTCAGGAACCCGAGGTTGTCTCTCCGGGAACTTCCTCCTCCAGTAACAGCTTAACCCCAGGCACACGCAGCACCCACCATCCCATTCCTGCTACTCTGTAGCCAAGGTTGGGAAAAACTTTAATTCCAAAAGGAGAAACTCTTACCACTGACAGAAGCTTGTGATTTCTTGTTATCTATATATAAAAGAAAAAAAAAAAAAGAAACCAAAGTAAACAAAGTTTTTCTGTAACCATATATTTCCACGCTAAGTCAGTGCTGAAGGCATTCGCCCAGAGGTCATTTGCTAACACTGAACTGACCCTGCCTAGAAACTAGACAAAACATACCTCAGAGTTTCAGAGAGTGTGTGTGTGTGTGTGTGTGTGTGTGTGTGTGTGTGTGTGTGAACATGTGTGAATACATGTATGTGTCCCAACCCTGGCAGCACTGACACACAAGGAGGCCAGGAGCGAGAGGGTGCAGAACCACCCCACGGTCAACCTGGGCCCTGGAGAACAGCCCCCAGGTGGAGGCTGGTGCTGGGTCTCCTCTAGTTCCCTCCTTCCCAGGCCGGGGCTCTTAGCACAGGCCCCAAGCCACAAACAAGAGCGCTTCAGGGATCTATGTTGGGCCCACAACACCTCCATTTTCAGCCCACTCTGGTTAGGGAGGCAGCATCCCCATTTTCTGGATGAGGAAACTGAGTCTGTCCAAGGCTGGTTAGAAGCCGGATCCAGCCAGCCCCAGGACGGGCGGGGAACTACCACAACAGTTCCACCCTCTGCCGGGGGTGAGGCAGTTGTGGGCGCCCCCGCCAAAGGGCTTTGTGCACTGCCGTGCCAGGGCCAGCTCCCAAATGGGCCAGCCAGCCCAAAAGGCCGAGCCCTTGCCAGTACAGACGGGGTCGTGGCCAGGCTGCTCATGCCCCAGGCTTCTAGTGGCGGCTCCTCTTGTTCCAAACACCATGGGCCCTTCCCAAACACAGCAAAGAAAGTGAAATCAAGTGAGGTTCATCTTGCTAGCCAGTCTGGTAAAAAGTTAGTGGAAAGAAGCAATGGCCCTGCAAGGACTCTGGGGTCCCCAATGTCTCCCTCTGAGATGAGTGACGCTGACGCCACAGCTGTCTCAACAGCCACAGGGAGCAGCCACCCCATGGACAGGCTGCGTGGGAGGAACCTGCCTCCTGTGGTCACACCACTGCAGGCCGGCAGGAGGCGCTGTGGCTGTAACCACGCCCCACCCCCCACCGCCCCCCACCCACCGCGCAGCGGCCAGCGGCCCTGAGCGGCCCTGGAGAAGAGGAACTGGGATGCTGTGGGGCTGGGCCCTCACCAGGGCAGGGAGTGCAGGGTGGCGCTGAGAAAGCTGGCCCCAGAAGCTTCCAGCCTGACGGGAACACAGGTCCAGCCTCCATGGGTCAAAAAAACCAGGCATCAGGGAAGGAAGTGTCTATTCCAGGGTGGACTTTGCTTATTCAGGAACTGCCTAGAGATCAAAGCAGCAGTCCTTCAAAAAGGGAGATTAAGCAGACAAGCAAAAAGAGCAGCCCAGCCCAGACCACTTGGACACTAACATCTCCATTAGGCCACAATCAGCACGTTTCAGGCTGAGGCTCTGGGAGGATGGGAAACATGGAATCAAATGCGAAGCCACGAAGAACTTCCCAGAAAGCAGGTGCTGTCCACAGACATCCTGCCTCAGGCACTGGGGCCGCGACTGGCCAGGCTCTCACGGCGACCACAACCACCCAGAGATGTGATGTTTTACTTACGGATGTCTCGAAAATGGATAATGAGCCTGGCCACGAGAGAAAGGTATTCATCCTAAAAGCAAAAACAGGAAGCAGTTTAATCCCAGACGCAGAAGTGAGGCCGAGTGACACCCCTTCCCGCCCTGGCCCTGCTGCGTTCCTCCTGAAGGCAGGGATGGCAGCCATCCCCGTCTGTCTGTCCCTGTCTGTCTTCGTCCGGCTTGGCTCGGCCTCCTCTGGAATCCATCCCTCTGGGAAAGCCCGGCAGAGCTCGGCTACCACAGAACAACAAAAGGCACAAAGAAACAGAAAACCAAGAAGGTACCAAGACACTAGAAGATGCTGCTCCCCCGCCCTGCTGTAAACCCTGGCGAGGGTCACGGGGGGGGGGCTCAGGCACCCGTCTTTCTGCAGAGGGGCTGGCCCGGGGTCACAGGGCATCTCAGAAGTAGACACAGGAGGGCCGCTTTTGTCTTTGCTCCATTTGTACCAAAGTACTTTCGCTTTTCACACCGGCCTGTTGCTTTTCCACTGCTGACGTCATATTTGCATGCAAATCTGGCTGGGCGCCCTGGCTGTGCTTTCCCCAGCTCCCACTGATCTGAATTCACTGCACGGCCCAGGGAGAGGGCACAGTGCCGCTCAAGGAAGCAGGTGAAGGCCACTGCCCAGGGCCCTCTTGGTTCTCGCTGTGTTTCTGGAACCTCCCAGCAGGGCCTGCCTTCCACCATTTGTCCTCTTTGTAACCAAGGACACTCACTCCAGGGGTTCCAGGGAAATCACTACTGTGAGTTTGTCTTGGGGTCAAAGAAGGGATGTTCGTAACTAAAATCTTATTTCAGAGAAGCTGGACCATCTTTCTGGCAAGGCAGGCAGAAAGGGCAGAGCTTTCACCCCGCCTGCTCACTTGACCCCCGCCTAAGTCACCATGACACTGAGTCCACTCAACAGCAGCCAGAGGAGACGACCCCCGCAGCCCAGGACCCACCACAGGGGACAACCCGTGAGCCTGGGACAGACAGTGAACCTGCCGTCACGAGAACACCTCCAAGGGAAACACATAAAGGGGGCCTCAGATGAATGTTAACAACATAAGCACACTTTGTAACCCCCATCAGCCCTCATTGATCTCAAACTTCACCCACCACTGTTTTCTCAGCCATGGCATCAGCAGAGGAAAACGCGGGGGAAAGGCCCAGGGAGGCCACGGGGCAGGTACCAAAGGACAGGACACATGGGAGATGTGTTCAACACTCCCCCTCCCAATGCCCCCCACAAATTTCTGGGAGGAAAAGGATCCCACCGATCACCTGACCAGGCTGGTCCTTGAAGGACAACAGGGTGGTGAGTGGGGTACAAGGAAAGTGGGGGCTAAAGGAAGCTCCGAAATGAGGTGGCCAAGGACGGGGAGCTTGCCAGGTCAAGAGCTGACGTCTCAGTAAGGCCTTGGCCATCTTTTGGGTTGGAGAAATCTTAAAAGAATTTGTTGAGCTTTTTCTACTTCCATAAAAGGTGAAGCAAGAGGAAGCAGGTTTAAAAAGCAACCAGATCATTAAAAAGTCCACAAACAACAAATGCTGGAGAGTTTGGAGAAAAGGGAACTCTCCAACACTGTTAGTGGGAATGTAAACTGATGCAGCCACTATGGCAAACAGTATGGAGGTTCCTCAAAAAACTAAAAATAGAATTACCATATGATCCTGCAATCCCACTCTTGGGCATATATCCGGAGAAAACTCTAATTCAAAAATATACGTGCACCCCTATGTTCACATCAGCACTATTTACAATAGCCAAGACATGGAAGCACCTAAGTGTCCACTGACAGATGAATGGATAAAGAGGATGTAGTATGTATATATACAATGGAATATTACTCAGTCATAAAAAAGAATGAAATAATGCCATTTGCAGCAACATGGATGGACCCAGAGATTGTTATACTAAGCGAAGTCAGTCAGACAAATACCATATGGTATTACTTATATGGGGAATCTAAAATATGATAAATGAACTTATCTATGAAACAGAAACAGACTCATGGACATAGAGAACAGAGTTGTGGTTGCCGGGGCTGGGGGGTGCTAGGGGAGGGATGGACCGGGAGTTTGGGGTTAGCAGATGCAAACTATTATATACAGAATGGATAAACAACAAGGTATAGCACAGGGATCTATATTCAATATCCTGTGATAAACCATAATAGAAAATATACATATGTATAACTGAATCACTTTGCTGTAAGGAAAAAACACAACATTGTAAATCAACTATACTTCAGTTATAAAACAAAACAAAACAAAACCAGCAACCAGATATTTTACTCCGACACAAGATACAGTAAATGGGGCTCAGGAGCATGTCCCCAAAGCCCTTGGCACAGAACCAGGACCGAGTGCTTGGAGCCAGGTGGGCACAAGGCATCCATGGTCTGCGCCCACTGAGGCTGCCCACAGCCCAGTGCAGCAGAGGCTCTGGGGGCCAGACCAGCATGAGGAGGCCTGAAGGGGACAGAGGGGGGCAGCAACCACCTGACAGGAGAAGCGGGCACAGGGAGTGGTCAGTCACACTGTCACCAAGGGGCGCTCCTGTGGGTAAATACATCACCCAGCACGTTGAGGGTAGAGTGCTTCAGGCCTGCTGATTTGATCCTCCTCTGACTCCCCAGGGCAGCTACCTTACTCTATGTCTAGATTGGCTTCCCTGGGCGTGAGAGTTCCCAGCCTCCATGCAGACAGAGAGGTTATGACCCCTCTTCTGCTCCAAGGCACCCCCACTCCAGGACAGTCCCATAAATGGGCCAAGGAGCGTGTACCTCCCTTATCTTCACTCCACCTTTATCATCTCCCCCTCCTGACAGCAAAAATACAAGCATCCAGGCTGGGTACGGCCAGAGCACAGCAGTGACAGCTCACACGCCGCACTGACTCCGGGCCAGGCACAGCTCTGAATGCTTTACAAATAATTAACACACTCAATTCTTCCAACTGCCCAGTCAGGCAGGTACTACTAGCGGGCTGGTTTGCAGGTGAGAAGACAGAAATGTGGGAAGAAAGCTTCCTGCAGTTTATACACTTTGTCTAACCTGTACAAGTCTTGCATGAGGGCCTGACAGCAAAGGTGGAGGACGAATCCCCTCATGGATGTGGAGGGAGCAACAGGAAGGACACACATGTTCCAGGTAAGATGCCACAGTCCACACACTAGATGCTACACTGTTATACCTTTTGTATAAGATTCGGGGAATCTGAACATGTATATTTGCTTTATACCTGCAAAAAGAAATGCTGCAGATCAACAATTAAATCCCCAGAGGTATCAGGAAGTGGCCTGGAAATGAAACTTCCCACCTTGTTATACAGCTTTCACACTGGAAGTATGTAATCTTTTACCAAATTGAAGACAAAGCCAAATCAAAAGAAAAAAGTACAGGGACTTCCCTGGTGGTAGAGTGGTTAAGAATCCGCCTGCCAATGCAGGGGACACGGGTTCGAGCCCTGGTCTGGGACGATCCCACATGCCGCGGAGCAACTAAGCCCGTGCCACAACAACTGAGCCTGTACTCTAGAGCCCGCAAGCCTCAACTACTGAAGCCTGCGCGCCTAGAGCCCATGCTCCACAATGAGAAGCCACCGCAGTGAGAAGCCACCGCAATGAGAAGCCCGCGCGCCTCAACGAAGAGTAGCCCCGGCTCACCACAACTAGAGAAAGCCCGCGTGCAGCAACAAAGACCCAACGCAGCCAAAAATAAAAAAAAAAGTACAATTCCTAAAAATGCAAAACCAACCAAACATATGAGCTGATATCAAGTTGGTGTCAGAATCATAGGGAAAAGAGTTCTTTTGATTGATCATTTTAAAAAACAAAAAGCAAACAAAACAAAAAAACCATATGTCCTTAGGGGAAGGGGTACATTTTAAGTACACACAGAGCTGTAAAGAAATCTTAAACTTCATTCCACATTTTGTTATTTGCTACTAATATTACTGCTAATATTGGTCTGTTTATTCTGAAAGTATTTTAGAGTAATTATGCCAATGACATTAGAAGACAAGATATTCACAAAAGAGAGCAGGTACATGTTTAAAATAAAAGTAAAACCCCGTAATTGGAAATATCAATGTGAAATTATGGGGTTTTGAGGTTGTTGTTTCAAAAACATATGACTCCTTAGCTCTGTTCACAAAAAAGAGCAGAAGCCGTGAGCAGCCCCATGCCCACACTGCAAGCCCCAAGTACCATTTCACCCTTGAAAAGGAACCAGGGCTCCTTAGAGCAACAGCTGATTCTGGGACAAGATGCAAGCAAGCTACAAAAGATTAAGGGGTTGTGACAGGGGCCCCAAGGGGTCAGGAATGTGCCTGTGAGCAGCCACTGGGGACACATCAAAATGAACGGCTGCAAGGCCTGAAACTCGCTTGATGCAGAGCCATGCTCACACCACCACTCACAGGAAGAGAAGCAGCCTCACCCCACCCCCAAGCCCCGGCACTTGCCCCTGGGTACCAAGGGCAGCAATTCCACAAGACAGTCAGTACTCCTGACGGTCCCGAACAGGCTGTGTTTCAAGCAACCAAGTAGCACTGGTGGATGAAAGAAAACCTTTCCTGGCAAGACAATTCCATCTAATAAATGTGGAAGAAAAGCCAGAATTCAGGACAAGTACCAGTTTGCAACGCCCAGTTAAATGATGGAATCATCAGCTGACAAGTGGATGGGAAACTTCATAAAAGAGTCAGACTGTCACTCTCCCAACTCCTGATCAACTGTGGCCTTGTGGGAAAATCAAGACACCCAGAAATATATACAATATATACAAATATGAGGCACCACCTCCAATGCCTTCTTGCTAACAAGACCCCTGCATACTGTGCTCTTTTGATCGAACACCTGGTTCACAAGAAATAAGGGGCAGGCAAGAGGGTTCACAAGAAATAAGGGGCAGGCAAGAGGGAGCCAGGCCACAGGGAATACTGTTGGTGGGAACACGCATGGTAAACACTCTGTTACTGAGGACTCAAAGGAAGAAAAGGAGCTGGTCAGAAAGCTCATGTCATCTTAGAAAATACAGATGTCATCAGGAACAGAATGCTGGGGAAAAGGTGAATGTTAAAAGTGTTTCTGGTGAGGGCTCAGGGGAAAGAGGAACGTGTGATTGGAAACAAGAGCACATAGAACCCCTGTCATACAGTGTCCAGAAGTCTAGCTGAATCGTACCCTAGTTGAGAGGAAGGCAGACCTTGTAAGCAATGAACCTGGATATTCGGCTGAGTAGACTTCCAAACAAAGTGTGGAAGGTCTAGCCTGCTTTCTTCTTTTTTTTTAAAAAATTATTTATTTTTGGCTGCGTTGGGTCTTCGTTGCTGCACACAAGCTTTCTCTAGTTGTGGCGAGCAGGGGCTACTCTTTGTTGCAGTGCACGGGCTTCTCATTGCAGTGGCTTCTCTTTTTTGCAGAGCACGGGCCCTAGAGCACGCGGGCTTCAGTAGCTGTGGCATGTGGGCTCAGTAGTTGTGGTGCACAAGCTCAGTAGTTGTGGCGCACGGGCTTAGTTGCTCCGCGGCATGTGGGATTTTCCCGGACCAGGGCTCGAACCTGTGTCCCCTGCATTGGCAGGCGGATTCTTAACCACTGCGCCACCAGAGAAGTCCTGGCCTGCTTTCTTCTTGCTGCTTACAGTGAAATTGGGAGTAAAGAAAGAAACTGAGGGAAGAACCGTTAAGCATAAAGGAACCTGGACTTGGTTTCGGAAATTCCCAGGCTATTCAGATTACAAAGAAACACTAAAATTAGGAGATTCACTGTAGGAATGTGTGCTCTGGAGAGAAGGCTGAGGTTGCACAGACTATGCTAGTGCCAAAGAGATCAGGCATGTGATGAATCCTCTCAGTCGTCTCACAGATGCCAGGAATAGGGATGAAATTACAGGGATGAAACATCTGTGGGGAAACCTTCTGTCTGATGGCATGAATATGTCACATATTCACGGTTTAAAGCGTCATACCAGCAGAAACACTGCCAGTTTAGACTAAAACGGAGAGACTGGATGAAATTTTAAAAGGGTGTCAGACTCCCAAAGTCAACAGGCAGGAAACAGGCTGGTAAAACTACTGGCTGCAAACATGACCACCGGGGAGAGCCTTGGGCCAAGAGGCCAAAGCCATGAGTCCAGAGACTGTAGCCTCCAAGTCTGTGGGAATTTGTCCAGCAGCTACAGGAAACTAATACACTGCCTCTATAGATTGGCCTATTCTGGGCATTTTATACAAATGCATCATACAATACGTGCTCCCTTGTGACTATTTCACTACACTTATCGTGAAGTTTTCAAGGTTCATCTGTGTTGTACCATGTATCAGTACTTCAGTCCATTATACGGCCAGATAACAGTCCATTATACAGACACACCACATTTTCTTTATCCACTCATCAGCTGATAAACATTTGGGTGTTCCAACTTTCTGGCTATTATGAGTGATGCTATGAGTATTTCTGCACAAGTTCTGTGCATATATGGTAACTCTGTTTAATTTCTGAGGAATCACCACACTGTTTTTCCACAGTGGCTGCTCCACTATACATTCCTTCCAGCAACGTATGAGGTGCCAATA